AGCCCCTTTGCAAAAATAACCTGACGAAAAACTCTGCTGCAGGGGTATGAAAAGTGAGGAAATTGGCCCCAAATTGGCCCAAATATTCGGGTTATGTCGGGTTGCAGGGGTATACTTACCTTAAAGGGAAAAGTTGCGTCCCAAAGAGGAAGTGGGAAATATGTGGGGTATAAATAGAGAAGGAATTTTAAATTTTATCCACAGGGCGAGAGACTTCTCAGCCATATACAAATACATTGTTCGGTCTGGAAACACTCAGCCTTGTGGGTCAGTCCGAAACAAAATCACCTGTGGCCAGATTGGTTGGCTACGTGTTCGGTGTGGGGGCCAGCCGGCTTGTGGCCCCCTTGTTCCTTAAGTTCTTCCTTCATCCATCACTTCATCAATCCTATAATTCAGGACTAAAATTAAAAAAATATCCCGTCAGAAAAAAATGAAAAAAGTATAATTATAGTATAATTAGTCAGTATATAGCTATGCATAGTAGTAATAGAATAAGAAGAGAGCATGAAGAGAATAAAGTGCAGTGGGCTAGGTATGCACATGCAATACAATCACAGTTTATTATATGCTAGTTTATAATTTAACTTTCTTTTGTTTAATTAAGAAGGAAATTGTTCATTTCTTTAACTTTTGTTAACTGTTCTCGGTGTTTATTATAGTCTCTTTTAAAACCAATATGAATATAAAATAACTTGGAATTGTGATAAGTAGTATCATTATACTTGCCTGTTTTATAGTTTACTTCATATGGTAGTATGCACATTCTTTAATAATAACATAGTTTGTCTATACTTTTTGTATAATTGTCCTTTACTTATATTCTTATACTATTAAATATTTCAAATTGTAGAAATAAAATATGTTCACTTTTTCTATGAAATATTTCAATGAATATAAGTTTATTACAAGAAGAATAGAAAAATAATAAATAAAAGAATTTACTAAAATCATTTAACTATTTTATAATACAATATGCAATATAATACAACAAAACAACATATTAACATGCCAATACTCCATAAAAATTAAGAAGCATATTATAATCAACTATATATTTCAAAACAAAACTTAAATAAACTATTTTTATTGAATTAGTGTAGTATAGCATATTTGGTTTCAGTTAAAGAGCAGGATGTGTCTGTGGTATAGTAGTATATTAAAATATCTTTCTATTTATGAAACAGAAATAAAAGATCATTAACAAATTAACTAGAAACAGTATATTGGGACTATTGCTGTACGATAGTAGTGATGTAGAGACACACACTAATAGGTATATTGTAGTATTATAAATAGACTAACTAGGCAGTAAATGTCTTAAGCGAGCAGTTATAGCTAATGTGTTTTCTTAGTATAATATTTCGGGTTTAGAGACGGATTTAAGTTTTTTTGATAGTTTTTTAGTTGTTGTAAACGTAATTCTCGTGTGATGGGGTAGGTTTTAATTAAAGTATTTAAAATATCATAGTGGATTCCATATTTGCAGCCATTGTAGTTATTGTCTCTTATGGATATAATTCCTTCATCACTTTGTCTAATTTCTTGTAGTTTGCTATTTTGAATAGCACTTGAAATGTCTTTTAGAATGAATCTTGGGTCATAGTCCTTTTTATTAAGTACCGTGCCCGAAATAGGATCGATTATTTCATCCTTTGTATTTATATCCATTAAATATGCATTCATTTTTTCTAAAAGATCCTTCATAGTCAGACAAAAAACAGCACTGGTTTTATAGTCAATATCAGTTCGGCTTTTATAGAAGCAGTGTCCATATAGTGCTGTATTAAGAGAAGGATTTTTGCGCTGTAGCATGTCAATGAAAGAAACATGGGCAGGTTGATTAATAACACCCATACGCGTTCTTTCATCTCGTATTCTGCTGTCAAATTTATATGTTGTATACTCATAGACACTTTCATAGAATCTTGTATTCCAAGTTATATTTATATCACCAGTCGCATTATTAATTTCTGATTGAATATTCATGTAGTAACACTGTGGGTCTTCATAGAAGTCTGTTGAATTTCGTATAAAGAAGTCGCTATAATAGTGTTTAATAACATAGTTTAGATCACTTTCTTTTATGTGTCTTTTAATTATTAATGATATTGAATCATCGGTTCGTAACTTGGAAGGGCTTGAATCATTTGTCTTTGAGCCAGAGGAACTTGAATTAGTCTTAAAAAATGGAGAAGTATAAATCTCTGTGTAGTCAATTGGTATTAAGTCTTTATATTCACCCAATTTAAATACATGATAGTTAATACTATTCTTGCCATAAGGCCCAAGCACAGCACCAGAAACCATAAACTTAGAAAGAAAAAGTGGAATCCGTGTCTTTTCCACATTGTCATCCTTAACATTATTTTTTACTTCTGATGAATACACAAACTGTGCAAAACAGAACTCGGTTTCATAGA